GCCGGCCTCCGGCCACTTTCTGGCACTCGGGGTCTCTGCGCTGCGGGGTCGGGCTGAGATGCGGCCAAGGGGCGGGACGCGGCAGTTCATGGCCCGACCCCTCTCCACCTTCACTGTGTGGGTGCGCCCGCGCCCCCCCGAGCCCCCCCTGTGACATCTGGGGGCTGCCGGTTCTCGTGGCAGGAGTCTGGACAGACGCCAACCGGGGCGATGGCGTGGCGGCCCGGACGTTCCGGCCGAGGCCGGGAGCTGGGCGGTCCCCTCTGCCTCCGTCCTCGTCCTCCTCTCTCCTCCCCTCTGCCCCAGCCGCTCTGGCGCTGTGGCCGCCCCCGCACACCTGGGGGCCGTGGGCGCCCGGGTCTCTCGGTCAAACAGCCGGACATCCCTGAGCCCGAAGGGCCCTGTGCACTGGGGGAGGCATGAGGCAGGGTGTGTGTGTGGGGGGGCTCCTGTGCTGCTGGGGGTGGGGCGGGGAGGGAGACAGCACCCACGCGGGAACCCGGCCTCCCACCCCCGGGGCCGGGTCTGTGGCCTGGCTGCGTGCGTGCGGGACTGAGGGGCCTGCCCCCGTCCTTGGGACTCACGTGAGACCTTTGCTCGCTGGGCCTCGCACGCCCGTCTCACATGGACGGTGGGAGGGTTTGGGGGCTCCTTCCCCGGTCCGCTCCCGGGAGCACCACGCCACCTTGCCGCCGAGGGGCTGCGTGGCCCCCAGCCCCAGGCCCGCCGAGGCCCCCACGGTGAGGTCTGGCCACAGAGCAGAGTGGCCGTGGGGGGCAGGCCCCCATGTTTATCTTCCCCAGGCGCTTGGCAGGCCTCCCGTGGCGAGCCCAGCCTGACCCCCTCCCGGCCCCGCCCCTTCGGACCCCATACGGAAACCGAGGTGGCGGCGGCGCCCGGACGGCCTCCCGAGAGGCTGCCTCTGGGCCTGTGTCCAGTTAGCCCGCCGCCTGCCCACCCGGAGACCCGCCTGCCCCCGCCCCCCGGGGCGAGCCCAGTCCGCGTGCCCTGCCGCTCCCTGTCCCAGGTCCCCGTCTGCGGAGGCTGGGAAGGAGCGTGGGGCCGGCCCTTGTGCCGGGTCCCTTCTGTCTGAGGTACGGGGGGGCGGGGGGCGGTGTCCCCAGTCAGCCCAGGGTCCAGGGGCTGGACAGAGGCTGGAGGGCAGGAGTGGGGGCGAGAGCTGGTCTTCGGGGTCCCGGGAGACAGAACGTCAGGGCCGAGGGGGCGCAGGACATGGTGGGGATGTGAGCACTCGACAGGTGCGACGGGAGGGAAGAAAGATCTCAGGACGACGACCTCGCTTCCGCCTGAGGAGCCGGGAGGAGAGCAGGGCGAAACCCGGAGCACGTGGGGGCGGCCTGGGCCGGGGCGAGATGGGGCGGGAGAGAAGATGAAGCCCCTGAGAGACACCAGAGGGGATCCGTGAACCCCAAGGCTGGGTCTCTGCGGAGGCCGGGGACACGGTGGACCTGCGGCCGGGTCTGGGGGAGCTGGGACGGGTCTGGGGGAGCTGGGACGGGTGTGCACCAAGGTTTGAGGCTCCCAGACGGACCTGCGCAGTGGGCGCCGAGTTGTAGAAGGGACGGGGTGGTCCTGAGGTTCAGACGGAGGTGCGGGGGTCGGAGACCAGCCAGACGGCCGGAGAAAGGAGGAAGCTGGGGGGGGGGACAACGTCGGCCACCCAGGTCGGAGCTGCTACGCAGGCCGTGCGGACGGGACGGCTCGGAGGTCGGAGCAGGGTGGGGCCGGTGCGAAGACAGACGGACAGACAGATCAGTGTAACGGAGTCCGGTCCAGAAGTGAACGCGCACGTGCATATAAACCCCATTTTTTCTTTTTGTTTTTTTACAAAGCAGCAGCGGCAGCAGAGGCAGCAGCGGCAGCAGAGGCAGCAGCAGAGGCAGCGGGGGAAGGACAGCGCCCGACAGGCCACCCGCTGCGTGCGGGCCCTAACTCCAGGTGGCCCCGTGAGACCGGCGCGAGCCAGCCCTCCAGAGGGAAGTGAGGGGGGGAAGGCTCCTCACGTGCGCCCCCCCCAAGACACAGCCCGGAGCCGTGGACTGCGCCGGCGCTGCCAGAGGCCCCAGGGAGAGGAGGAGGAGACGAGCCTCGGTGAAGGGGGGAAGCCCCACGGACGGGGAGCGTCTCTGACCTGACGACGACGGGCTGGTGCCCAGAAACCGCGGATCCCTCCCAGGGCTCCGTCCGAAAACCCGCCCACACAGCCCGGTGAGGAGGGGGCGAGACTCGAGCGGCGCCACAGAGGGCGCGCGGGCGGCAGGGACGCCCCGTTGGCCGACGGCCGGGCAGCGCGAGCCCCAAGGAGACGCCCCGTGCGCCCGCCAGCACGGCCACGCGGCGGAGAGGACGGCCCCCGGCAGCGCCGACGAGGCGGGCGGGAGGGGACGTCGTGCCCGCCGCTCTCGCGGCACGCGCCGGGGACCCCGTTTCTGGCAAGGCGGAACGTGCATGGCCCTCCCGCGGGACCCCGACACCCCGCTCGCAGGGAGGTGGGCGCACACAGACCCACGCCCTGCCCACTCGGGTCTGCAGACCCTGGGGAGCAGGATTGGTGAGCTCTCCCCTCCTCGGGGCCGCAGTGTCTCCCTAAGGCCTTCCGCTGGCTGGGTGAGGCCCGCCCGCGTCGTGGGGGGTCACCGGCTCACCCCTGGGAAACACCTTCGGAGCAGCACCCCGGCCGGAGTCGGAGCAAAGGCTGGGCCGCGACGGGTGCCGTGAATCATCCCTCCTCCGCCGGAGGAGACAGGAGGGGTGGCGCCCCTCCCCCACCACCTTGCTTCCTCCCTCCCCTCCCCCTCCTGCTCGCTGCCCCTCCCCGCGCCCTGCAGCTCCCCCCACACCCCACTTCCCGATGAGTCAGGGTTTGTGGACAGAGAGCCCTGGAACCGTCATTTCGGGCCCCATTTCGTGACGTCTCTGTGGCCTCCTCCCTGCGGGCCAGGCTGTAAAGTCCCAGCACCCTCAGGAGCCGCGTCCCATCAGGGCAAACACGGCTGGGTGTGGGGCCGGGCGGGGCGGCGCGGGTGGGTGCGGGGCCCCGGGCCAGAGCAGCCCCCGCGGGTCCGGCTCTGGCGGGGGTGGGGGTGCGGTGTCCTGGGGGCCCTCGGGCATCGCCGCTCGTCCAGAGAGAGGCCGCGCCGCAGTGATCCCCACCGTCTTCCCCGTGCGAAGGACCGGCCGGTCCCCGTTTGGGGGGCGCGGTGGGGGCTCCGGCTTTGTCCGGACACTTCCTGGTGTGTTTATTTCCGTCCAGGATGCGGCGCAGCCCACCCCACCACGACCTCCCCTGCGAGGGGCGCCGAGGCGACTGCTTGGGAAGGCCCGGGGGGCGGGGCCGGGGGCGGGGAAGCCCGGTGGCCCTGAGGGCTGACCAGGGTCTGAGGGTGCAGCGGGGCGTGGGACGGGGTCCCAGACTTTGCGGGGGTGGGTGGACCTGGGTCCCTGGCCCGGCGGAGCCCTCGGCCCCATCTATCGTGCCCACCCCTGCTGACAGCCCGGCCTGCCGTCTCTGTGTCCTGGGACCACCCCCTAACCCCTGCCGCCGAGACCCTGCTCCTGGGCCCGGGGGCGGGCAGGGTCAGCCCCTGGGCCTCGGGTCCCTACTGCTGCCTGCTGCCCCACCCAGAGGGGCCCTAGGCTGACCCCAGACCCCGGAGACCGCCCCCCTTCCATCCCAGGGGGTCCCCACTGGACTTGGGGGAGGGGGCCGTGCTGTGTGTCCTCCTGTGTCCCCAGCGGGAGCCCCGCCTGGGAAGCCACGGTCCCGGGCCGAGGAGGGGTCCTAGCACGCGCGGCCGCCCGGCAGGCTCCCCAGGAAGAGCCCCTGTCTCCCCCTGGCTCCTGCCCCACTCTGAGTCCCCAGGGACCAGGCCCCCAGTCCCGTCCCTATGCAGTGAGGACAGTCCCCAGGGCTGGGGGCACAGTGGGATGGGCTAAGGGGCTCCATCCCAGGCCCCCCTGGGCGGCCCCCCACCCCCCAGGGCCTCAGTAACCACCCACTGACCCTGGGCTGGCTGTCCACTCTCTCCCTGGCCCGGCCGGAGCCGGATTCAGGGTCTGTTCCAGGAGGAGGGAGGGTGGGGGCGGGGCCCTGACTGGGGCCGAGGTGGGTGCCCTGGTGCCCCCTCGGGGCGAGGAGGTCTGGGGCAGGCTGGAGTGCCAGCTCACAGTCCGGGCAGGCGCGGAGGGTCTGAGGCTCGTCAGGGGTCACAGCGCCTCTCTTTGGGCTGGGGGGTGCGGCCCAGGGGCCGGCACAGCCTCGGTCCTCCAGGCCGGTGGGGGCTGGGGCAGGGCCTGTGCTGGGGGGGTGGGGGCCGCCTCTGCGGCCCCTGCTCGAACACCTGCTGGGGGCCGTTTCTGGGGCCCGAGCCCCGCTCCCCTTGGGGACTTGGGGACAGCCTCTCCCAGCCAGGTCCCCGGAGAGCGTGCCTCGTGCCCGGTCCCCCGGCAGGGCTCCCCGAGCGCCAGGTCCACGCAGCTGCGGAGATGGGGTCGGCCTGGCGCGAGGCCAGAGCGGTGCCCCCATCTGTGGGCGGTGCCCCCATCGGAGCCCCCACACTTGCTGCCCGGAGGGGCTGGGTGCAGTCCCCCGCCGGCGTGAAGGCGGGCAGGGTCCTCCGGGGGCCCCTCGGGCTCTACCCCGGCGCGGGGCGGGGGGCCGGGCTGCGAGGAGCCTGCAGGACGGACAGGTGTCCGGCCGGGCCCTGCGCCCGCCCGCAGGTCCGAGTGAGGCTGGGAGGGACGGCCGTCCGCTGGGCGTGTGTCCGGACCTGGTAATTGGGAGGAAGATAAATAAGTGAGAAGATAACCTTCTGATAACCTGAATCAATATTTCCCCACGGTGGCTCATTGGGGCCCCTGCAGCTGTTTTCTAGAAAATTTGGCGAATGCTCCACCCACCCCTCGCCCCTCCCCCGCCTGCCCCACCCTCGGACAGCCCTGCTGGGCCTTATAAAGCCCCGACCCCTGCCCTCCCGCACCCCTGTCCTGGTCCCTCTCCCACACCGACCTGCCGTGCCGCCATGGGGCTGCCGCGGGGCTGCCTGGTGGCCCTGTGCCTGGCCCTGGCCTTGGCCAGGGGCACGGAGCTGCGGAAAGGTGCGGGGCAGCGTCCCGGGAGGGCAGGACGGCCGGGCAGTGTGGGCAGACGTCCCACCTGGGACGGGAGGCAGCCCTCTTCCACCTAGACTTGGGGGCGGCGGGTCTGGGGGGGCATCCTACAGCCCCCAGCCCTGCTGACTTTGGGTGGAAGGAAGGACGGACGGAAGGAAGGCCGGACAGGTGGTCTTGGGTCCCCACCCCCCGTTTGAAGGTGGCCACCTGGCCGGAGTGCGCGCCGAGGTCATGCCAGGTGGACGCACCTGAGCTGGTGGGAACCCGTGTCCTTCCCGAAGGACACCGTGCCCTGCGCCCTGCGCTGGGACCTGGGGGCTCTGCGGAGGGTCCTGGGGTGGGGGGCGGCCGCCAGCCGGTGCCAGGTGCGGGTGCCGGCCCGGCCGCTCACTGCTGCCCCCGCACCCGCAGAGGGCAGAGCCTGGAGCCACGGTCACAGCGTCTGCAGCACCTGGGGCGACTCCCACTACAAGACCTTCGACGGCGACGTCTTCCGCTTCCCCGGCCTCTGCGACTACAACCTGGCCTCCGACTGCCGCGACGCCTACAAGGAGTTCGCCGTGCACCTGCGGCGTAGCCCCGGCCGCGACGGTGGCCACCCCCAGGTGGACTACATCCTGCTGACCGTCAAGGACGACGCCATCTACCTCACCCGCCAGCTGGTCGTGGTGAACGGGGCCATGTGAGTGCGGCCGGGCGGCGTCCCCTCCTGTGGCCCCTGGGAGCCCCCCCCCCCCACTTCTTGGGAGGAGGCTGTCGGTCTGAGGTCAGGCGCTGCTCCCCTCAGCAAGCACGGACAAGCCCCCACCAGGGCCCCCACGGGTGGGCGGGGGGCAGGGCTCAGGGCTGGGGCTGAGTTTGTCCCTCAAGCCTCCCTCGGCCCCCCTACTCAGGGCCCACCAGGCTCCGGGCGGTGGTGGGACAGTGCCAGCCTCCTGGCCCAGGGGGCCCGGGACCCCATGCTGGGGTCACACAGGCAGGGAGGGGCCTGTGGGGCCCCCGCCGCTGAGCCGCGTAGTCTGCGGAACAGCGGGGCTACTACGAGTGAGCCCCCGTCTGGCGGGCCCGTCACCTCGGGGCCCGGCTGCAGCCCAGGTGGCCAGGCCGACACAGGGCGGGCGTGGGTGCAGGGCCCCCAGAGGCACAGAGTTTGGGGGGGCACAGTGCGTGTGCGGGCTGGGCAGGGGCTGCAGAGGCAGAGTCTGCCCTCCTTCCTCCTGGGGCCCCCGGGGCCCCCCTGCCCGGACAGGACGGGGTGTGGAGAGGGAAGTGGGCAGGCAGGGCTCGGCCCCCCCGAAGGAGCCCAGCAGGCCGAGTGGGCAGGGTCTCCCGGGCCACCGCAGCCTCGAAAGGCCACGGCCAAGTGTGGCCCCAGGGCAAGAGCCGGCCACACAGCCTCAGAGCCCACCGGGCAGCGGGACGGGGGGAGGACCGGTAGGCGGCGGCTGTGTGGGCCGGCTCCTGACTCCCTGCGTGTCCCCCAGGGTCAGCACCCCCCACTACACGCCCGGGCTGCTCATTGAGAAGAATGACGCCTACACGAAGGTCTTCTCCCGCGCCGGCCTGACCCTCATGTGGAACCGGGAGGACTCAGTCATGGTGGGTGCCGGGGCCCTGGGGGCGGGCTGGCAGCCGGTGGAGAGGCCGGAGGGTCAGTGACGGGCAGAGGCGAGGCCCCTCGGGGACGCCCCCCAGCTGCCCAGGCCCGTGGCCGCTCACCCTCACCAGCCCCTCCTGCCCGACAGCTGGAGCTGGACAGTAAGTTCCGGAACCACACCTGCGGCCTCTGCGGCGACTACAACGGCCTGCAGTCCTACTCGGAGTTCCTCTCGGACGGTGAGGGCCGCCGGGGTCAGCGGGCGGCGGGGGCGGGGGCGGCGTGCAGGCTCCCCGTGCCCCCCTGACGGGCCGTGCCCACCCCCCCCCACCCCCAGGCGTGCTGTTCAGTGCCATCGAGTTTGGGAACATGCAGAAGATCAACAAGCCTGAGGTCACGTGCGACGACCCCGAGGAGGAGCCGCCGGCCCCCAAGTCCTGCTCCCAGCACGTGAGTTGCCCGGACGCCCCCTCGGGGCAGGAGCTGTTTCCCTTGCGGGGGGGGGCGGGGGTGAGGGGCCCGCGTGGGTGGCGCTGCTCGACCTCTTCCCCGCCGACCTCTGTCGGGGGCTGGGGCAGCGTGGACGGGAGGAGGGCCTGAGCTGTCCACCCACCGCCCACCACCGCCACGTCTGCCCCCCAGCGCGCCGAGTGCCAGAGGCTGCTGACGGCCGCGGCCTTCGAGGGCTGCCGGAGCCTGCTGCCGCTGGAGCCCTACGTGGCGGCTTGCACCCAGGACCGCTGCCAGTGCCCGGCCGGCGCCTCCTGCGAGTGCAGCACCCTCGCCGAGTTCTCCCGCCAGTGCTCCCACGCCGGCGGGCGCCCGGGGACCTGGAGGACGGCCTCGCTCTGCCGTAAGCGCCCCGGGGGGTCGGGACGAGGGGGATGCAGCACGTGGGGGCGGGGGCGGCCCGGTGTCCTGGTCAGCGGCCTCGGGCTCGGGCTCGGGCTTGGGCTCAGGCTCGGGGCCGGAGCCCAGGGCCCTCCGCGGGCAGCCCCTCCGCCCTGCCCGCCCGGTGCAGTCCGCTCCCGGCCACGTCCCGCTCAGGGGCCCGCCTCTGCCCTTGCAGCCAAGACCTGCCCTGGGAACATGGTTTACCTGGAGAGCAGCTCGCCCTGCATGGACACCTGCTCGCACCTGGAGATCAGCAGCCTGTGCGAGGAGCACCGCATGGACGGCTGCTTCTGCCCCGAAGGTCTGTGCCACGGCGGCCATGGGGGCGTGGGCTGGAATCGGGGGGCGGGGTCCAGGTAGGGGGGACGCCAAGGCCGAAGGCCCCTCCTGGACAGGCACAGTGGTGGCTCCTGGGGGGTCTCAGGTCGGGGGACACTTTCCCGGTCATCGCCCTGCAGGCAGACACCCTGCCTAGCACAGGGACCTGGAAGTTTCCGGGAGGGGCCGGAGTCTCAGGTGCAGGAAGGTCCCTGACCAGACACCGGGCGGGGACCTCCGGGTCACTCAGTAGACCAGGGGTGCCTGTGTGGCGGGGAGGGGAGGCCTGGCTGGTGGCCCCTGCCCCGGTGACCCCGGCTGAGCCTGACGCCACCCTGCCCTGCCCTGCCCTGCCCTGCCCAGGCACCGTGTACGACGACATCGAGGGCCGCGGCTGCGTCCCCGTAAGCCAGTGCCACTGCAGGCTGCACGGGCGTTCCTACGCGCCCGGCCAGCAGGTCAGCAACAGCTGTGAGCAGTGGTGAGTCTGGGGCCCGGTGGTGGTGGCGGCGGCGGGGGGCGGGCTGGGGGCGGCCCTGCGCCCGACCCTGCGCCCACCACTGCCCACCGCCCGGTCCTGACCCCGCGCCCACCGCCCCACAGCGTCTGCCACGCCGGCCGCTGGGTGTGCAAAGACCTGCCGTGCCCCCGGACCTGCGCCCTGGAGGGCGGCTCCCACATCACCACCTTCGACGGGAAGAAGTACACCTTCCACGGGGACTGCTACTACGTGCTGACCAAGGTGGGCCGCCGCCCGGGGGAGCGGGTGGGCGGGGCCGGGGTCCCGCCTGCGCCCTCACTGCAGCCCCGCCCTCCCGCAGGCCGACCAGGAAGACGCCTTCGCCCTCCTGGGCGAGCTGGGCCCCTGCGGCTCCACGGACAAGCAGACCTGCCTCAAGACGGTGGTGCTGCTGGCCGACAAGAAGAAGAACGTGGGTGCCCCTCCCCTCCCCTCCCCTCCGTGTCCTCCCCCATGTCCCTCCCCCCGGGTCCCCGAGGCCCTTCTCATCTCTGGGGCCCCCTTGGTCTTTCCCACAGGTGGTGGCCTTCAAGTCAGACGGCAGCGTCTTGCTGAACGAGCTGCAGGTGAACCTGCCCCACGTGACAGGTGAGCCCCGCCCCGGGCGCCCGGGGGGCAGGCCATGGCGGCAGGCTGGCCGGGCGCCCCTCACGCCCTCACGCCCTCGTGCCCCTGCCCCGCAGCGAGCTTCTCCATCTTCCGGCCATCCTCCTACCACCTGGTGGTGAGCACGGACTTCGGCCTCCGGCTGCAGGTGCAGCTCGAGCCCGTGATGCAGCTGTTCCTGACGCTGGACCAGGCCGCCCAGGGCCGCGTGCAGGGTGAGTGGCCCCGCCAGGGTCCCCCGCAGAGGCTGCGCTCGGGCCTGCCCCCTGCCCCCTGAGCCCTGCCCGCTCCAACCCTGTCCTGGCCCCTCAGGCCTCTGCGGCAACTTCAACGGCCAGGAGAGCGATGACTTTCAGACGGCAGGCGGGCTGGTGGAGGCCACGGGGGCCAGCTTCGCTAACACCTGGAAGGCCCAGTCCAGCTGCCAGGACAAGCTGGACTGGCTGGACGACCCTTGCTCCCTCAACATCGAGAGCGGTGAGGCTTGGCCCCGCCCGGGACAGCTGGGGTGCTCGGTGGGTGGGGGTGTGGGGGGGGCACGGCCCGCCCTGCTCAGGGCCAGCCTGTGTGTCTGCTGCCTTCTGCCGTGTGGCCACAGTGGCAGCCTGCCAGTGACAGGGCACAGGGGCTGGGCCACCAATTGATGGGTGGTGGCCCTCGTCCGGGAGCAGGCCTGGCACCGGGACAGCACCCCCCCCACCCTCCGAGACACCCTGCCACGTCTGGGAGGGTGGAGGTGGGCACCCCCGGCCTGGTCTGGGCAGAGCTGACCTAGAAGGAGGGGCTGGGTTTGGTCCCCAGGGGGGATGGTGCTCCCCCCTGCCGGAGGGGCCGCCCCCACTGAGGTCCCGACCCTTTCTAGCCAACTATGCCGACCACTGGTGCTCCCTGCTGAAGAAGAAGGAGACGCCCTTTGGCAGGTGCCACTCCGCCGTGGACCCGGCCGAGTACTACAAGGTCAGTGGGACCCGCACGAGCCCTCCCTGCCGCCCTGGTGCGGGCCGGGGGGGCTGCTCTGTGCGCCTGGCGGAGCCCGAGGCTCCCGCTGGGAGTTGCTGAGTGTGAGTGTGCTCGCACACACGTGTGTACAGCACACACGGGTGCATGCACACATGCACCTGTGTCCGGCACACGTGTACACGTGCGAGCAAGCACACACAGCAGGCGAGGGTGCACGTGTAGGCACGTGTAGCATGTGCGAGTGTGTGCAGGTGTGTGTGTGCGTGCGTGCTGCGGCGTGCCGGGAGTGCCCGCACGGGCGTGTGGGCTCACAGCACCCCCCTCTCGCCACCCAGAGGTGCAGATACGACACGTGCAACTGCCAGAACAACGAGGACTGCATGTGCGCCGCCCTCTCCTCCTACGCCCACGCCTGCGCCGCCAAGGGCGTGCTGCTGTGGGGCTGGCGGGAGCTCGTCTGCAGTGAGTGCCGTCCGCTGCTGGCGTCCCGGGGCCCGGGGGGTCTGGTGTCCCGTGGGAGTCGGCCCTCGGCTCCCCCACACCCCTGGGGCAGCTCCTCCTGAGTGTCGGGGTGGGGTGGGGTGGGGTGGGGTGGGGTGGGTGTGGGGGCCAGCCTGCTGCAGCCGGACGGCGGGGCTCCACTGCCCGTGTAGGGTCCCGGGGCTGAGGCCACAGCCCGCCCTCCAGCAGGCGGGGGTGGGGGAGGGCGTGTTCCTGTGTCCCGGGTGCCCGGGGGGGCTGCCCTCGTTGGCCCCTCGGCTGGGCAGGTGTCCTGGTTCTGGACCAGGTCGGGCTGGAGACAGCCAGTGGGGTGGGCACGGGAGCGGGAGCGGGCCCTCCCCCGGCCCCTCACGAGGCCCCTCGCTCTGCAGACAAGGACGTGGGCTCCTGCCCCAAGTCGCAGGTCTTCCTGTACAACCTGACTGCCTGCCAGCAGACCTGCCGCTCGCTCTCCGAGGCCGGCACCCACTGCCTCCAGGGCTTTGCCCCCGTGGACGGCTGCGGCTGCCCCGACAACACCTTTCTGGACGAGAAGGGCCACTGCGTGCCCCTGGCCAAGTGCCCCTGCTACCACCAGGGCCTCTACCTGCAGGCCGGCAAGGTGGTCGCCAGGCAGGAGGAGCAGTGGTGGGTGTCTGGGGCCGGGGAGGGCGGGGGCCCTGTCCCCGGGGAGCCTGTGGCCCCGCCTAGCTCAGCAGACCCCTGCTCTCCCCCTCCCCCGCAGCGTCTGCCGGAATGCCAGGCTGCACTGCACCCGGGTCAGGCTGCTCGGCCACCGTAAGTGGACACTGCCCCGTGTGTGGCCCTCTCCCCTCGGCCCGCGCTCCCACCCCTGCTTCAGCTGAGCCCAGGCGGCCCCTCTGCCCCACAGGCTGTGCGGCCCCGAAGATCCACGTCGACTGCAACAACCTGACCGCGCTGGCCGTCCGGAGCCCCAGGCCCGTCAGCTGCCAGACCCTGGCCGCCGGCTCTGTGAGTGCGGGCCCTGGGGAGGAGGCGGGGCCGGCGCCAGGCCGGCCCTGAGGCTGTGGGTGCCGTCCTGTGGACGCGGGGGCCTTGTAGGGCTGCCCGTCCCTGGAGGGAGGCCCCCCGCAGGCGGCCCTCACCGGTCTCCCCACCCAGGTGTGGGTCCAGGGAGAGGGCTCAGGTGCGGGGTGGGGACTCTGCAGGGTCAGCTGAGCGGCCTGGCCCCGAGTCCCTGACCCCCGCGGTCTGGCTGCCGCAGTACCAGACCGAGTGCGTCAGTGGCTGCGTGTGCCCTGAGGGGCTGCTGGACGACGGCCATGGGGGCTGCGTCAAGGAGGAGGCCTGCCCCTGCGTGCACAACCAGGACCTGTATGCCCCCGGGAGCCGCGTGCACGTGGACTGCAACACCTGGTGAGCGGCCGGGCCTGCTGCCCCCGGCCCCGAGCGCTCCGTGGGCCCCACGTGCTGGAGAAGGGAAAAGGGCCCGGGCGGGGGCCCCCTTCCCTCAGGTGGGCCTGGGGTCTGCAGGGCCCCTCGGCCCCCCGCCTGTCTGGCAGAGTCCTGGTCCTAATGGGGGTGCTGGATGGCACTTTTGGCTTGGTGAGGGCTCCTGGGTGCTGTGCCGTGCCTGGGGAGCTGTCCGCACAGCACCAGGGGGCCCGGGCAGGCCGCCCGTGGAGCAGGGGTGGGAGACCCGGGGGCCCCGGCTGCAGCTCGAGGCCCCTCCGCCACCCTCCGCAGCACCTGCCAGAGAGGACACTGGGCCTGCACCCAGACCAGGTGCCACGGCACCTGCACCATCTACGGGAGCGGGCACTACATCACCTTCGATGGGAAGTACTACGACTTCGACGGGCACTGCTCCTACGTGGCCGCTCAGGTGAGTCCGAGGGCGACTCCCGGACCCGCCCTGCACCCCGTCCCCGCTCCGCTGGCCCTGAGGACGGGCCGGGAGGGCTGCGCGGCCCGGTGCAGGGCCTGGGTGGGAGTGGCTGGCCCCTCCTCTCCCGCCTGTACTGTGACGCCCGCTCAGTGCGTGGCGAACGAGGAGCAAGGGGTGTGTGGGGGTGGTCAGGGCCCTCCTGCGACCTGGTGGCCCCCTCTCAGCAGAGGAGGGGCTGAGAGGCTGGCGGGGGGGGTGCCCGGGGCGCTCGTGCCCGGCGGGCTCAGCTCACGTGCCCTGCGGCCCCCAGGACTACTGCGGCCAGAACTCCTCGCGGGCCTCCTTCAGCATCATCACCGAGAACGTCCCCTGTGGCACGACAGGCGTCACCTGCTCCAAGGCCATCAAGATCTTCCTGGGGGTGAGTGCTGGCCACCCGGGAGGGGTGGGGCGGGGCGGGGCCCCGTGGACACGCCCGGTGACCGTGTCTCCCCTGGACGCAGAGGACGGAGCTGAAGCTGGAGGACAAGCAGCACTCCGTGATCCACCGAGACGAGGGCACCCGCGTGGCCTACACCACGCGGGAGGTGGGCCTGTACCTGGTGGTGGAGACCAGCACCGGTATCATCGTCATCTGGGACAAGAGGACCACCGTATTCGTCAAGCTGGCGCCCTCCTACAAGGTGCGCGGCCGCCCCCGCCCGCCTGCCCGCTCGGTGCCCCCGGACCCCCGCCGCGTGAGCTCCTCCCGAAGCCTCCGCTCTCCGCGCTCTTCCGCAGGGCGCCGTGTGCGGCCTGTGCGGGAACTTCGACGGGCGCTCCAACAACGACTTCACCACGCGCGACCACATGGTGGTGGAGAGCGAGCTGGACTTCGGGAACAGCTGGAAGGAGGCCCCCACCTGCCCGGACGTGGCCACCATCCCTGACGCCTGCGCCAAGAACCCCCACCGCCGGGCCTGGGCGGAGAAGCAGTGCAGCATCATCAAGGGCCCCGTCTTCCGAGTCTGCCACAGCAAGGTGGGCGTGGCTGTGGGTGTGGCCATGCGCGCTGGGGCGGGGAGGAGGGCGTGGCCACAGGCGGGGCCTCTGGGGAGTCCTCCCGGAACTGCGCCCTCCAGCTGCGGGGCCGGCCTTCGACCACGTGACCAGAGGCAGACCCTTTCTCCTGAGACCCCTGGCTGGAGCCCCAGCCTCCTGTACCTTCCAGGGCGGGAGAAGGACAGTAACCCCCTGACTCCAGGCGGCCCTCCGCCCAGGCAGGGGGGCAGGGGCTGAGAGGCCGGGCAGCGCAGCCAAGGGTGCCCGGCTCTCTCTGGGCCTCCCGTCAGCGCCCCCTGGGGGCCATACGGTGTCGGCCCTTGCTGCCGTGGGGCCCCGAGTTCCCGGGGCCTGCAGGGGAAGGCCTGCCCTGCGAGGCCAGTGTGGACCCGGACCGTGGTGGCTTCCCCCGCAGGTGGACCCCAAACCCTTCTACGAGAACTGCGTCCAGGACTCCTGCTCTTGTGACACCGGCGGGGACTGCGAGTGCTTCTGCTCCGCGGTGGCCTCCTATGCCCAGGAGTGCACCAAGGAGGGCGCCTGCGTGTTCTGGAGGACTCCGGAGCTGTGCCGTGAGTGCCCCGCCCCGCCCCGCCCCGCCCGGCCTGAGGGTGGCCTGGCCCCGCCCCCCGCCCGCGGCTGACCCCGCCCTGCCCCCCCAGCCGTGTTCTGCGACTACTACAACCCCCCTGACGAGTGCGAGTGGCACTACGAGCCCTGCGGGAACCGCAGCTTCGAGACCTGCAGGACCATCAACGGCATCCACTCGAACATCTCCGTGTCCTACCTGGAGGGTGAGCCCCGGCGGGGCTGGGGGCCCTGGGGTCCGGGCCGGGCCGGGCTCGCCGTGCCGCAGAATCTGTGCATTGAATGGGGGCGGGGCCCTGGAGCCTGAGCTCAGACCTGCTGGGCAGGGGCGAGGCGGGAATGAGCCAGGGCGGCGCCCAACCCCTGAGGTCAGGAGCGAAGAAGGAGGAGGAGGACGTGGAAGAGCAGGGGGGGCGCGCTTCAGAGCAGGGGCTGGGGGCCTTTGAGCTGAGAACCAGGTGGACCTGAGGGAGAGAGAGATATGCCGGGCCGGGTCGGAGGGGCGCAGCCGGTGGGCGGGGCCTGGCTGTCCCTTTGGTCCCAGGGCAGTCTGCCTAGCTGGGTGGGAGGAGGGGGGCGTTGGAGCCAGTCCTCTGGCCTCCCAGCCCTGGCCTTCCCAGAGGAGCATGCTGGAGAGAAGGGCAGGTCCCGGCAGGGACAGTGTGTGGGGCCCCACCAGCCCAGTTCAAGCCGGGGCCCGTGTCCACTAGGCTGCTACCCCCGGTGCCCCTCGGGCAAGCCCGTCTATGACGAGGACCTGAAGAAGTGTGTCAAGAAGGAAGAGTGCGGCTGCTACATGAACGGCACCCACTACCCACCCGGCGCGACCGTCCCCCCGAAGACAGAATGCGAGTCTTGGTACCCGAGCGCGCAGCACCAGGGGCCTGGGGGGGTCTGCCCACACGCGGGCGCCCACACACACGCATGAGCCCACAGGGCACGGGCGCAGGCACGCGGGTGCGGCGCACGCCCACGGCAGCTAGGGCGCAGGCCCCTCTCTGGTTTTCTCAGCTCTCCCCACCCCCCCCCCCCCCCCCACCCCCCCCCCCCCCCCCCACCCCCCCCCCCCCCCCCCACCCCCCCCCCACCCCCCCCACCCCCCCACCCCCCACCCTGCCCAGCGTTCTGGCCTGGGGTGGGAGAGCTCCTTTCGGGCTGGGCCCGGGACTCTGGGCTGCACGGGCGGGCCGGGCCGGCCTCCCCGCGCCTGCAGCCCCTGCATTTGCTTTGCAGCATGTGCCACAACAACTCAAAGGTCTGCCAGTTTGAGGAAGGTGAGCTGCCCTCTGCGGCCGCCCCAGAGCCCGCAGGCCGCCCGGCCCCGGGCGGGCCCCTCTGGTCTGCGTTTCCCTGGGTGGGGAGCCCAGGACCCTCCTGGGGCTCAGCTGCTGAGTTCCGATGGGGCCCCTTAGGGGTCGGGGGCTGGGCTTCCCACGGAGCGCTGGCTTGTCACGGGCGGGAGCCGGGGTACGCCCTGTCTGTCCCTCGCTGGGGCGGCGGGCTGAGGGCTCCCGTTCCCCGTGCCTTGACGTCCACCCGCTCCTGCTCCCCAGGGAAGATCCTCAACTTCACCCAGAACGGCGCCTTCTGCTACTGGGAGTGGTGCGTCCCCAACGGCACGGAGAAGCACTTCAACGTCTGTGTGTCCACCACGACTCCTGTGTCCACGACCCCCACCACGACTCCTGTCTCCACGCCCCCCACCACGACTCCTGTGCTCTCCACCACCACCACCACCCCCACCCCCACCCCCACCGTGCCCAGCACAGGTGAGGCCCAGGGCCACGTGCCCCTCCCCCCCCACACCCCGAGCCAGCAGAGACGGCCTTGTACAGGCGGGAGGGGATACCCACCTGCCCCTCGACTCAGGCAAGGAACGCAGCCTCGCGTGTGGGGACACCTCAAAGACTGTGTGTCCCCGAGCCCAGACCACAGTGACAGTGGCATGGGGCGCTTCCCAAAACCAGCAAGAAAATACCCCTATGGGTTCGCAAAGGCAGAGAAATGTCCTTGAATCCCCCTGCGTGGGTCCTGGTGGTGATCGCAGCCACCACCGAGCAGGCTGGCAGGGATAGGACGGCCAGGGGAGAGGCAGCCGTGAAAGTGGGGACAGTTGGTGGCTCTGACACCGTGCAATGACTTGCTCTTCTTCCCATTTCCCTGCAGCTCCGCCTTCCTCTCCGCCGCCGAGTAAGTGTGCAGATGACGTCACTCTGGGGGGGGGGCGCGCGGGCGAGGAGACAGAGCCCCACCTCACCCTCGCAGCAGAGCCGCCCCCTCTGCGTAGAGACCACACGCGGTGCCTTTGGGGACGGCTTCCTGACTTGCTGAGCCCAGGGACTCATGCAGGGGCACTTGACCAGCTCCCACGGACAGCAGTGTTGGTCGAGCGTCAAGGCCAAGGCCCTTCCAGGACGCTTCCTCACTGGAACGGGCGGCCCATTTGTCAGCGATTGCTTTGGCACGAGGGTTTCACCGGGGCTAAGGGAGGGCTCTGGGCCGGCGTCTGTGGCCTGGGACCGCCCCGGTGCCTGTTGGGCCCTCTGCCCGCACCGGGCCTCGGGCTGCAGCTGCAGAAGGAGGGTGGGCGTGGGGGCCGCAAGCTCTCTGAGCCGGCGCTGTGGGCCTTGTCCGTGGGGGGGCGCAGGCACGGGCTCTCGGAGCCCTCTGGGTCCCAGCCACCTCCCAGGGGCCCCCAGGGCCTCAGTGACCAGCGCCGGCTCTTGCTTCCCCAGAGCTGTGCTGCTTCTGGTCCGACTGGATCAACGAGAACCACCCGAGTCCCGGGCCCGAGGGCGGCGACCGAGAGACGTTCCACAGCGTCTGCCAGGCCCCCGAGGACATCGAGTGCAGGGCGGCCGAGGACCCCCACCTCAGCTGGGAGGACCTGGGCCAGAAGGCCCAGTGCGACGTCTCTGTCGGGTTCGTCTGCAACAACACAGATCAGTTTGACGGGCCGTTCCCCCGCTGTTACGACTACGAGATTCGTGTCAACTGCTGTCTGCCAATGGATGAGTGTCCCGTGTCCTCAACCCCGAAGCCGACACCCACCACCACCACCACCACCACCACCACGGTGACGACCACCCCGACCCCAGAACCGACGACCACCACCACCACAACACCCACACCCACGCCAGAACCCACCACCACTGTGACCCCGACCCCAGAACCAACGACCACCACCACCACCACGGTGACCCCCACCACCACCACCACGGTGACCCCCACCCCCACCCCCACCCCGTGTGTGGGAGACTGCCAGTGGACAGGCTGGGTGGATTCCGGGAAACCGAACTTTAACAAACCGGGTGGGGACTTTGAATTCATAGAGAACGTCTGTCAGTCGGGCATGGCAGCCAACATCTCCTGCAGAGCTTCCCAGTTCCCAAGTGTCCCCATCGAACAGCTGGGACAAACCCTGGTGTGTGACCTCTCAGTTGGGCTGGTGTGCAGAAACGAAGACCAGAAGCCAGGGGGAGTCGTCCCACAG